AATGCTGCTAAGTGATATTCCCCTGCTGAGTTGTTCCGTTTAAGGTGTAACTGTAGTACTCTTCAGTTTGAATCCTGTTAAGGTTTTGGGCCATTTTTCTTTTAATCCTTACTCTCACTGTCCTTTTGTCACCTTCCCCTGAACTCACACACAACCACAGTGCACAAAGGGACAGCACTTTGGTGTTGCTTATTATTAAACCTGGTTTTTTACTGATTTCCTTGCTGGTGGTTTTGTGCCTTCAGAAATTCTTCCTCTTCCAGGGCCTAAAGAGGCTCCAAGAACTGGAGACGAGCGTTGGACAAAGGCCTGAAGTGACAGAACAAGGGGGAATGGCTTCCCACTGCCAGAGAACGGGGTTAGGTGGAATATTGGGAAGAAATTTTTCCATGTGAGGGAGGAGAGACCCTGGCACAGGTTCCCAGAGATGCTCTGGCCTCCCCATCCCTGGAGGTGTTCCAGGCCAGGCTGGATGGGGTTTGAAGCAGCCCACTCTAGTGGAAGGTGTCCTTGCTTGCAAAGGGGTGAGATCAGGAAAAAACAACCACAAGTATTCCCAAGGCTGAGGAGGAGGAGAATGAGCTCTGGTGAAGGGCTGGAAGGGGCACCACAGCACCCCAACATCTAATCTCCAATAACTTTTATTGCATCATCAGGGGTACTGTCAGTAATAAATATGGGCTCTGATGCTGATCACCTGCTGCAAGCCTGTTGTGGTTTGGCACTGGCCAAACGCCAGGCACCTGTGAAAGCTGTTCACTCACCTTCCCCTGCTCTCAGCTGGGCAGAGGAGAGGGAAACAAAAATTAACAAAAGGCTCATGAGTAGAGATGAGAACTGGGAGAAAAAACACTCTACACCAAATGAAAACGGTTCAAATTTTCTGGTATCAAGTAAATTATTATTAACAGATTCAGAAGATGGTAATGAAAAGTGAAATTATACTTTAAATCACCTTTCTTTCCCCCAGCCCCTCTGTCTTTCCCATTGACAGTGAAGGGAGACTGTCGCAGTCGAGGCAGTCANCTCCGTGCTGCCTCGTGTTCTCCAGGGCTCTCACACACAGGCAGCTGCCTCAGAGCCTGCCACGGGCTCAGGGCTCTGCTCCTCAGCTGCTCCTCACTCTGCCCGGGAAATGAGCAATGGGAGAGAGCCTCAGCAACCACACCTGTGCCCAAAGCACTTGGGCTCAATCTCAGCTGCTCTTCCATTTTAAAGTAACCCCAATCATAAAATCTGGTCTTTTCAGCTGCCTGAACTTGCCCCCTGTCATTCCTGAGGTGGATCCTTAGGACCCTGCACTACAAATGTCCTGTGAAACTTTTCTTTCTGATTCAAATCTAGTTTTGCCGAGTGTATGTCACAATTTCAGTGGCACATCTCCTTCACCACACGGTTTCCAAAGAGATATGTTTAATAATAATTCTGTGTGTGGGCTGGAGTACTGCCCCAGAGCAGATGGGTTATTTAGGATGTCAGCTATGTCACTTCTTTTCAGAGGCAAATCCATGCTGCTCTCTTGGGTTTAATCCTTAGAAAGTTGCAGGTTTCATCTGAGTCATCTTCTACATTTCTCTGGCAGTTAGACAGCAGCATACATTGAATTACAAGATATTCCCAGAAAAGCTGAGGTGAGATGATTCCTACCCAGGCTGACATGTGCCTCAGGGATCTGGGATGTTCCTGCTGGAAACTGCTTGCCCTGGGACCCGAACTGTCACCTCTCTTCCTGCTGACACCATGTTTGTGTCCCCAGCTATGGAATCTCACATCCCCTCACCAACCCAATCCTTTCAAGGGCAAACACTTCATGATCCAGGAGCTGATGGAGCTCCAGGAGAGGTGGAGGGACTTATTACAAGGGCATGGAGTGACAGGACAAGGGGGAATGGCTTCCCACTGAGAGCGGGTGGGGTCAGATTGGAAATTAGGGCAGAAATCCTTCCCTGTGAGGGTGCTGAGGCCCTGGCACAGGTTGCCCAGAGGGATGGGGTTGGGTAAAAACAAACACAAGAGCTCCCATGTCCGAGGAGGAGGAGGAGGTAGAGCTCTAAAGAAGGGATAGAAAGGGGATCACAGCACCCCAAAACCTGGTCCCTAATACTTTTCATTGCATCATCAAGAGGATAGGCACTAATCAGGGTGGGCTCTAAGTGCTGCTGAACTGGCTGCAAGCAACTGAGTGCTGTCCTTCCTTTGGGCTGTGTGAGCCTGCATTGGAATGACAGAAATGGGAATTCTCAGCTCAGTTTGCTTTCTTGAGGCCAGGGAAGGTTTTGGCAATGATCCTGAAAATGAGCCCAGAATGGGAGTTGTTTCTGAGAAGCACCGAGATGACTGCACAGTGCTGTGAGCACTTCTAGCACTGCCAGCAGCATTCCAGTGCTACCAGCCCCACCAGCAGCTCTCTGCTGCTGGAGGGACAAGGACTCCTTTGGGTAGTTAAATTAGGAATGGTAGATACTTGCTGAGAGAGGGAGAGCGTTTTGAGAATGCCCCATTTGGAAAAGAGTTCCTAATCAGGAGGAAATGAGGAGCCGTTCAAAGAAATCTGCATGTCAAGCTACTTCCTCTATGGCAGGAAAAAATGTTCAAGACAACTCAGAGGAAGTGAAATACAGCTATAGACAAAGAGGCAATTTCCGACTCCCCCATGACTTCACTAAGCCTTCGGAAACAACACCAGGACAGGGAGAGGAGCCAGCAGGATGGGAATGGAGAGCTCCTGGTAACCTGGGCACTTTCTCCTTCAAGTCCCTGACCTGCCAGGAGCCGCTTTTGGACATGGATCCCAAAGGAGCAAGAGGGACCAGGAAGCACCGCTGATCTGCACAGACCCCTTTGCCTGCTGCTGCCCCACAGGGAACAGGTCAGTGGAATGTTTGCCTTCCTCCCTACCCCACCTTCCTCTCCTGCAGCAGCTGCTCAGTTCCTAACACCCTCTCCTGGAGACTGCAGGGCCCCCCCAGCTCCCCCCTCCTCTGCTCTATGCCCGAACAGCCCAACCCTCCCACCTCCCTCTCCTACCCCACAATTCCCACTGCCCTCCTCCCCTGCACATCTCACTCCTCCCCACTGAATCCTTCCCATTTCAGGGAGCTGCTGAGGAGCCACATGGTCCATCCCTGGATTCTCCAAGCACTGACTGCCCATCCACTCTGACCACAGCCAGGGGCCACATTCCACTGCCTGCCCAGTGTCCATCCATGGAGGTGACCACCGTGTCCCCATCTCCTGCCTCACCCACTGGAGGAGATGATCTGTGTGAGACAGATGTCACCATCGTGGCCATACACAGTGTGACCCTGCTCATCTGCCTCTGTGGGCTGTCTGGGAATGGGGCTGTCATTGGCCTCCTCAGCCTGAAGCGTGATAACTTTTTCATCCGTGCATTGCCTGTCATCGACTTCCTCTTCCTTCTCCTCACAGTCCCCTCTGCCCTCATCCTCCTGGTGGAGGACGTGTTCTGCTCTCTTATCCTGCCCGTGCTGTACCTGCGTTTCCTTTTCCGACTCTCTTTGTTCTTCTGCTACTGGGGGCCGCTCTGGCTGATGACTTTTGGCCTTGCAATGTATATCAAAAAGCTCTATCAAACCAGCCCGACTCGGCACTGCTAAAGCGCTGCTGCCGCCGTGACCTTCCTAATGATCTGCTTTGAGTGGTGATGATTGTCCAGTTTTGGGCTTTCTCTGCTCTCTTCACTTAGATTCCCACACTGACATCCCAGTGCCAATCAAATGATCAGGAGCACTGCCAGGCAGCCCTCATCACCATGTGGGCCATCATCCTGCTCCTCCTTGATGTACCCATAACTGTGCTGGTCATTTCCAGCACAAGTAATTTAATTAAGGCCATGTGAGGCTCACAGCAGCAGCAACCCAAGGGGCTTGACATCGTTACCGTCTCCATTGGTCTCTTCACTCTCCTTTTCATCCTCTGGAAGTTCCTGCAGGAGCTTGGTTACATTGCTGTGTCCTCCCATTTTTTTTTTTTTCCTGTTCACCTGCATCAACAGCAGCATCAAACCCTTCATGTACTTCTTGGCAGAGAAGTGCTGGTGGTCCTGCTCTGTGGAGGCCTTCCGGCTCTCCCTCCAGAGGGTCTTTGACTAGCCAGAAGAAAGCACTGCCTGTGGAGATGATCCTGCCATGGACAAAGGGGTCTGAGTCTATTGATTCCTCCTACTGACTGCTGAAGGACCCTGGGACAGTGGCTGGGAGATTCTTTGAGTCTCCTGATCAATAAATACCCACAGGATCACCCTCCCTGTGCTGCAGCATCCCCAGCCCCTTTCCAGGCCGCTCTGGGCTCTGATCCGTGCTTGGGAGACCTCAGCCTTGAGGAGCAGCCCCTGGGCTCAGCTCCTGTGGTGCTGATCACAAACACCCTCTGCTCCCAGCAACTGCTGCTCTCCAACCACCTCCTGGGCTTTTAGCAACAGCCTTGGAAATTATTGTACTGCCCTGGATGCCACAGCATCCCTGCTCTGCCACTGTCCCAGGAAGCTGCCGGCCCCAAGTGTGGCCAGGCTGAACCATTGCTGTGAGTGCCGCCCATGCCTTGGGGCCCTGTGAGCAGCGGCCCCAAAGGAGAGCCTTGGAGCTCTGCTGGGCCCAGCAGCGCTGAGCAGANTCAGCAGATGAGTTCCATGGTGTTTTCAGGGAGCTCTTGCCTGCAAAGAATGGGACACCTTAATCCCTGGGGACACACCCAGCACAGGGTGGCAGTGTTTGCAAAATTCTTCAAATGGACTTTTGACAAAAGCCAATTCCTTTGTGGCAAAGAAAAAAAATCAAAATAAATAACTCTGAGGGAGTGGAACTCTGACGTACCCAAAGTTGTAAAACAACTTCCACCTGCCCTATGACCCCATGAGCCTTGGGCAGAAACCCCAGGACAGGGCACAGAGAGGAGCCAGAAGACGGGAATGGGGAGCTCCTGGTGACTTGGGCACTTTCTCCTTCATGTCCCTGACCTGGCAGGAGCTGCTTTACGACATGGATCCCAAAGGAGCAAGAGGGACCAGGAAGCGCTGCTGATCTGCACAGAGCCCTTTGCCTGCTGCTGCCCCACAGGGAACAGGTCAGTGGAATGTTTGCCTTCCTCCCTACCCCACCTTCCTCTCCTGCAGCAGCTGCTCTGTTCCTGACACCCTCTCCCGGTGACTGCAGGGCCCTCCCAGCTCCTCTCTCTCCTCCTGTGCATCCCATCTCTATCTTAATACAGAAATGGGCCAGAACAAACTTTCTAACACAATGCAAAGCATGAGGAAGCAGGAATTCTTGACCTGCACAGGACATAGAGGGATCTCTTCTTGTATTGTGTCTATGGTGAGACTTTTACAAGAGGGCATTAATCCATTAGATCCACATGTAGGCATTAAAAAGTATTTCTTGTCTAACACACAAACACCGTTTTCCTAGAACTCATTTCCATGTGTCCACCTCTTCCTGTAAGTCCTTTTATGATCCTGGAGGTTCATTCAGATGGGTCTCTCTAGTGGACGCATTCAATGAATGGTGCCATATTAAAGGTGCCCTTGCCTTGAACTTTTTTCCTTGTGATGCTTCCTGTTCCAGAATTTGCCCCAAAATCACTACAGGGCTCCTTATCTGTTTCTGCACTGGTTCCTGCTATGTTTGCCATCCTGTGTGCCAGCCTTTACATCCTGTCAGAAACAACCACCCACTTTTTTAAATTTTTAGAGATTTATTAAACCTTAACAAAAAATGCATCAAAAGGACTAAATAAGGAAGAACAGGCCTGGGAGCTTCCCTCATGGCTGCCCAACAAGTGGCTGGCTGATCTTCAAGACGGATGCTTCACCTTTGATACCCTGGGGGTTGCATCAGCTAAACCTGGCCCCTCCCAAAGTCTGTCAGTAAGCCCTTCTTTGTGTTTATTGCTGGAGCCTGCTTTCCTGCAGCTTGACTGGAGGATCAGGTGTTCTCATGCTGCACCTGTTCCCCCCCAGCAACAAGCTTTTGTACACCCCTTCTTTCTACCTGTCCTAGATGACTCAGGATCTCTGATGGCAACAGTACAGAGGAGGGAGAAGGGGACTACGGAGAGAAGAGGGGACATCTAAACAACAGAGTGCAATAACATAATTATACATCAATCAAGCTTCTTTTAATATTCACACAGTATTCATCCCTTAACTGTGAGAGCCAATCATCCCATTATCTATCTATAACACATCGTTTAAAATTTTGGCCACTTTGGTATTGCACAACTTCAGAAGAACTGAAAATGTTTATTCTCTGTATTATTTATCAGCCTCCTGCCAAACAGCCCAAACCTCTCACCTCCCTCTCCCACCCCACAATTTCCACCACCCCCTCCCCTGCACATCTCACTCCTCCCCACTGAATCCTTCCCACTGCAGGGAGCTGCTGAGGAGCCACATGGTCCATCCCTGGATTCTCCAAGCACTGACTGCCCACCCACTCTGACCACAGCCAGGGGCCACATCCCACTTCCTGCCCAGCGTCCATCCATGGAGGTGAGTACCGTGTCCCCATCTCCTGCCTCACCCACTGAAGGAGATGATCTGTGTGAGACAGATGTCACCAGCGTGGCCATACACAGTGTGATCCTGCTCATCTGCCTCTGTGGGCTGGCTGGGAATGGGGCTGTGCTCTGGCTCCTCAGCCTGAAAACTGGTAATCGTCACTTCTTTTACATGGCTTTCATGGACTTCCTCTTCCTCCTCTTTGCGATCCCCTCTGCCCTCCTCATCCTGGTGGAGGACATGTCCTGCTCTACTATCCTGCCCTTGATGTACATGAACTTCGTTTTCCAGCTGTCAGTGGTCTCCTACTACAGGGCACTGATGTCTAAATTGACTGTGCTCTATATGGACAAGCTCTGCTGGCTCTGCTGCCGCTGCCACCTTCCCGAGCGCCTGATGTGGGTGGTGGACAGTTTCCGATACTGGGCCTTCTTTGGTCTCTTCACTGTCATTCCTGCAGTGACATTTCTGTGCCCATCACACCAGGAGGAGCACTGCCGGGCAGCTCTCATCTCCATGTACACCATCACCCTGCTCCTCTTTGCTGCACCCGTGGTCATTTCTGGCATAATTGACTTCATTAAGGCACAATGGGGCTACCAGCAGCAGCAACCCAAGAAGCGCGACATTGTTACCTACCTCGTTGTGCTCTTCTCTCTCCTTCTTACCATATGCAATATCCTGCAGCAGTTCGGTTACGTCACTGTCCCCTCACAGGTTCTTTTCCTGCTTGCCTCCATCAACAACAGCATCAAACCCTTCATCTACTTTTTGGTGGGGAGGTGCTGGAGGCCCTGCTCCATAAAGTCCCTCCAGCTCTCCCTCCAGAGGGTCTTTGAGGAGCCAAAAGAAAAAACAACCCACAGTGATGGTCCTGCCATGAACACAGTGCTCTGAGACATTTGATCCCTACCACTGCTCTGCTGAAGGACCTCGGCACAGAGGCTGAGGGTTTCCCTGAGTCTCCTGATTAATAAATATCCATAGGATCACCTAAACCATGGGGCTGTATTCCTGCAGGAGAAGGGAGCAGGAGCATTGCCTTGGGTGATTTTTGTGGGATGCTCTGCAGGGAGCACACTGGAGCATGGCTTTCCTCCTCCCTCCTCGATCCACATGGCTCCAAGCAGTGCAGCTGGGCTCAGTGCTCTTCCCCAGCTCTATTCCCCATCGAATGACCCTCATGGCCTCAGCCCCAGGGAATGAACTCCATCTCCTTTGGCTCAGCAGATGATTTTCATGCTGTTTTCAGGGAGCTCTTGCCTGCAAAGCGTGGGACACCCTAATCCCTGGGGACACACCCCGCACGGGGTGGCAGTGATTTCCCAAATCCCTGCAGGGCTGGCGCCTCTGGATGGCAGGAGAGGGGTTGGGATCACAGGGAGCATCCTTCCCCTTCTGTCCAGCAGAGCCAGCCCTGCATTCCCAGCTGATGGGAAGGGACACCAGGTAGGGCTGCAGAGCTGGGGAGGGACAGCAACATTCCCTTTTCCTTTCAGTGGGAATGTCTCACAAGCTTCAATTCCAGAATTGAATCCCTCTGAGTAAAGTGCAGGGTCGATAGTGAACTCCACTAAACTCCTGTGCCTGTATCCAGAACGTACATGGAATATGGAAATTCCCATCACCAGATGCCTGGTCCATTTAATTGCACAGAGATTAGGGGGTTATGCTGCTCTTCTGCAGAATGGGGCCATCCATCCTCTGGTTGCCCAGCATCAGTGCCCAGGGAAGGCCTTGAGCACCTCCATCCTGAACCTGGCCACCCTCAGGAGGAGCTGCACAGCCACTCTGCACAGCAGCTCCAGCCACAGTCCAGCCTGTCCTGATCTTTGTCATTCTGAAACTACCCCTAAATGAAGTTTACATTCATACTTTTGTTTGCTTCAGTAGTAATTTCAGCCCCTGACTTTGTTGAATACACAACATCCAGGCTTCACCGCAGAGCTTGTGTCTGTTAAACAGTGTCCAAAATGGCTCATTTCCTTCTTTTATCCCATTCTAAAGCCTCTGGCTGCTCTGGGAGCAGGGCAGGTCCCTGTCTCATACCAGAGCCCTTCCTAAGGCACGTGCCTGCAATGCTTGGGATGATGTTGGCAGTGCCAAGAGCTCCTGATTCCTCCTGGGAGAGACCTGGGCAGCAGCCACATCTCTTGCTCAGGGGGTAGTTGTCCCTCCTTTTCCCACAGCCTTAAATCCAGGGGAAACCAATGTGCCACTGCTTATGGAAAGGGAAGTGAGGGTGAAAGTCATGTGTGGAGTCAGGCTTTGGAGAAACACATAAGGGTAAACACCTAAGGAGAATTTATTAAAAGAGTTGTTAATAATTAACAGAAGACACAGACTTTGACATCTGAGGGGGTTTTCCTCTCCCTGACTCCTGTTTCCTGTCCATTGGAAACCCAAAACTTTCCAAGGTACAACCTCTTGTCAATGGAAGAACAACTCAGCCATGAAGTCCCTCCCAAGGGAAGAGCAGAAGGACCATTATCCTTCCATGTACTTTTTCTGCTTCCCAGCACCTTCCTTGTCTTGTGTGTCATCCCGGCCGCTCCCTACCTGAGCTTCCTTTCAAAAGAGCAAGACTTCAAACCAAAAGCTTTCCTGGCTGTCCCTGCCCATGGAAGAAGGAGAGATGAAATGAAATGATCTCTACTGTTCCTTCCAACCTGTCCTAGGTGACTTTATGAGCTGAATTAAACCCCTATTCATCTGTTTCGCCCAGAAACAGGTTTTGCACATTTCAGACCGGTTCTTGAGCAAAGAGGGGGAGAGCAGGTGCAGCAGTTGGTTTTCAGAAGCTGCGCTCAATCCTCCCCATTCCTGCTCCCAGACCGTGCTGTCTGCAGCACAGACATGCAGCACAGAGCTCTCCTTTGCTTTTAGGCATTTTCAGCTGGCTGAGGCAGAGAAGTTCCCTGGGCTGTGGTTTTCCTTTTGCCTGGAACTGTTCAAACCTTCTCTGGACTGAAAACCTAGGAGAGCACCAGGAGCTCACACCTGTGGCCCACCGGGGCCTGGGACGCAGCATTTTCCAGCACCAGAGAGAATGATAAGAGACTCAGTGAGCCAAACTACACTCCACAATAAGGACTGTCTGAATTTGTCAACTCTTAAGAACAGCAAGAGATTTTATTGTTTCATATTGTTTTCATTTCTTATCCTTGTGTATACTTTGCTTGTTAAACAAACAGTTTTCTCCACTTTTCTCTAAGCAAATCATTTCCGGAACCAGCTGGGAGGGAGGGGCTGCTTGAATTTATTTTCCAGAGGGATCCCATATGAAGGTTTCCTCCCAAATTTACCCAAAACCAGGACACAACCCAAACCATTCCATGAGGATTCCTCGTGTCACCCACAACAGCCCCAGGCAGGAGTTCCCCTGCTGCACACAGCACCAGCCTGACAGAGCTCAAGGAGCATTTGCACAATGC